CTCGATTAAATACCTTCCGCGCCACCTTCCAGAAAGTTCTCCTCATTTCGTCGGCGCGATGCGCAGCGAAGGCTGGGGAGAGGTGCGAGACGGTTCGACTGCCCTCCGCGTCGGATGACTCATCTCGGTGTGGCCACGCCTCCTTCGTTCTAGAAAAATCGCGGGCTTGCTCGGCCGCCGTTGTGGGGTGAGGAGGTTCGTCGATGAAGCCACGCTTCCGCGGGGAGAGCGCGCGCCCGGGGAGCCCCGGCCGTTTGATTTCTTTTTCTTTCCTTTTTTTTTCTTTTACTTCGCGGCGCTTCTTCCGCGCGTTACCGCAAGAATTTGCGGCGCGCCTATTTTTAGCGCTCGTTCTGTGACACAGGGCCTCTCCTACCTTTCCTTCCTCCGTGCTCGCAGCCGTCGCACGCACGCACCGCGATGCGTTCTTTGACGCATGCGCGTTTGAGCGCGCCCAGCGTCCCTCCATCACGAAGAGAGGCAAACGTAGTGCTGTCTGGGTAGAGCTGGGTAACGTGATCCGGGCCAAATGCCACGTGTTGCATTTCGCGCCGGTTGCTGCAGGGCCGCGCCGAGGGACGCTGGTCGCGCCGGTAGCGCCTTGCGTCAGATTATAGAGTGCTCATGTTTTGCTAGCGTAGAGTCGCTGCATCCAGCGTGCGCGCGGATCAACGTTACGTAGGAGTATACTGGGCTCTTCATCATGCGCTCGCGGCCATTTCGCAAGCTCCACATATACCAAATTCGATATCAGGTTACGTCAATATATGAAGAATGTAAATGACACTTGCAAATATATTAATCATGACACGGAAGTCATGTGCGGCCTAATTTACTTTCGCCTTGTAAGGTGGTGCTTATTTTGAAGTTACATATCAACCTTCTTTATTCGTGCTTCGCATATCATCGAGTCCCACTGAACGTGGGATCTGCCATTTTTTTCTCTTATATTTAATAATTATTTGTTAATTTTTAATTATACTAACTCTACATTTTTGTTTATTTTGATCCTTTTTCGGGTATCATTCGCCTAAGTTTAGGCTTGCATTGTCCGCTTGGGGATCAGCGTGACCACGCTCCTACAGACCACGCTCCTACCATCAGCAGCCTCGCTAGAGTGGTGTACATTTTGAAAATGCGCTTGTGGAACGTGTTTACTATGGGAGGGCGCAGATATTCCATTATATTTATTGAATGTGCAAAGATCTCCGTAACTCCTCTCATAGTGCACCTGAAGGCTTATCTGCAAGGCATATTGTTACGAAGCGCGCCTCCGACGACCTTACGAAGGGCACCACGAAATCTCACTACTGCAACCACTGTTACAAAAGACAGCGACGCCAACTCGGTCCCGAAGGCGCCACTGCTTCGAACTCCACCGGGAAGGTCACCAGCCGTTTGGTAGCGTAGGTTTCTCAGCTCGCGACTGCTTCTGCGCAGAGCTTGAAGACGAGCAGACGAGATGACGGTGAGTTAAACAAGGTTTATGTACAGCATATTTTCAGAGGCGTCAAAAATTCGGCACTGCGGCCGACAGTTTAGAGACCCGAAGAGCCCAGCTCTCTTATCTGACACATATGTCTACTACTCGCGACGCGCCGCAGGGCTTCTCCTATATGCAACGGGTGGATTCTTTGAGTAACCGAATGTCCAACCAGAAGCGCCGCTGGTCGTGAGGTCATAATCCTCCAATGGGGTCGCCGCTGGGCCGCGTCATTCTCATCAAATACGGAGCCGCTGCACGTGGCTGCACCCCAGGACGGGTGACGTCGCCACGCATTGCGTAAGACTTGCCAGGCAGGAAGGCGCCGCCGCGTGATGACGCCGTTGAGTTGTTCGCGTTAAAGTCCCTCTATCTACGAAAAAGTATCGAAAGGTCTTGATCCAGCCGCCTCGCCGCGCGATTGGCCGGTTGGCGACACGTGACCTTTTCTCCTTCGCGCCCCGCCCTAAGGGTCCAGCAGTCGTTCGCTGTGCAGGCGGATCGCGTGGTTGTTTTTGTTTCCGAGTGTAGAATTGGACGTTTCGGTAAGTAAAAAACGTTTCTTGCGCCTCTGATGCATTGTTTTTGCAGCGTAGAAGTGCTTATTTACCTTTCCCTTGAGTGGGCGCAGGAATTACGTGTTTTTATTCAACGTTTGCAGCATGACACGCTAGCATGCCGGGCTGCTGTGCCTACGGTTGCCGCAACCATAGCCACAGCAGCCCGGCATGCTAGGGGGCTGCTGTGCCTAATAATATAATAAATAAAATATATTTATTTGTAAATGCAGTGGATAATATTGTAAACATAACCTGATATCTTCGAGGCTTACAAATGTTATGTACATGAGGAGTGGAGGTGGTGCGGGTAGTTGAAAGGGGAGAGCTTAGAATAAATGTATTTTTTTTTAAAGAAATCAAATGCGACGCTTCGTAAACACTAGTACGCATTCTCTATTTCCCCGATCTTAGACGGTAATCTGGTCAGGGGCGTAGCAGAAATAATTTTTTCTAGGGGGGGGACCTCCTTTATCTGAAGTGGGGGCTAGGCAGGCACATGTGAGCGACTGTCATTTTGTGCTGTGTATGCTGTCGAAAAAAATGGAGGGGGGAGGGGAAAATGGGCCCGCTGTGCCACCCCCTGGCTACGCCACTGAATCTGGTTACAGATAATTGTCAGATGCAGCGAAATCCTTTATCCGAAATAAAGCTCTTAGAGTATTGTGTATACAAATAATTCGGTTAGCGTTAAAAGACCGCGGGAATACTGCAGAGCACTAAAAAACGCGATAAGAGCGCACGTAACTCGCTGCGCACAGCTAGAAGCAATCAGTGCGCAATGATGTTTCCGAAAGTTTCGGTAAGCTCACAACCCCCGATATTTTTGAACTATAAAACAAGCACTTTCAGTTGACCAAAATATCGTCTCTACTTCAATGTAAGCTGAATTTCAGATCATGCAAACGACCGTAAAAAAGCGCCGTATGACTACCGCTGTGAAACACCGTTCAATAGAATGAGATGCTTCGAAAGTACGAACGTTTTATTGCAAAGCTTCACGCGCCCCGGGATCGTTAGTCGTTGTCCCTACTGCTCCAAGTTTCCTGGGCAGCTTACGCCACAAAGGGCAATAATTAACCAGTTCAAACGCGCACTGAGAGCGGTTTCAGCCGTCCGCAAAATGCACGTGAGCAAGTGGAGCGTCGTCTGCTAGCGCTGCTCCTTGGACCCCTCCAGAGGGCGCGCGTGTAGTTGTCGCTACCTTTATATATATATAGGGACCTTAGTTCGCGTCAGGCAGGCTGGCGTGCTGGCATTGACACAGATTGCCTTTTTCAGAGGCATGGACGTTCGTTGTGGACTCGCAGGCATAACTTTATATGCTGTCCTCCAGGCTGATTGCGTTCCACGACTGTGTGGCTGCCCTCTGACCTTGTGTGATCCGACAAAGGTTGCCCCTGCTGCCGAAGAATGATTGTCTTTTCCAGCGCTCTTCTTGCCTTTTTTTTCTTATATTGTACAGCCGGATCCTGCACCAACGCAAAACTGGGGAACGAGAGAACAAATGTTCCTGCTTAAGAAGCAGTTCTTTGCTTTCAATGAGCTATTTTAATAAGATAATTGTCTGCTGTCTTTTCGATTGTCATTGCTTCGTGGCTGGAAGACCAACATTTGTTTCAGAAGTGGACGCCACTGCAGTGCCACTGCAGTGCCACTACTCAGTCATATACATAACTCACTTTACGAAACGATGAATCATCTAGTTTTTGCATATCAAAATATCATATCTACTCAAACTTTATTTTTCATTCAAGCGCATAGAATTTTTTCATATGGTAGGGTACAAACACGAACTATTCCCTTGTGTTCCGTCTGTCATACCCCTTCGAGCACAGTTGTGACCCAAGTCGCGTTATTCTACATAACTTGGAAGGAGGTTTGTATGCCACAATGTCCTCCTTAACTGCTGAACCTTTTCGGCTTCGCACGTATGCAGATATCTATATAATATACCCGCGCACACTCCAACACATGTAAGAAGACACTTGAAAGGAGTCAGATCCTTCCCAACAAGCCAAAGTAAGTTTCTAGCTACACCCTTGATTGTGTGCGCCATTATCTCTGACACCACTGTGAGTGCATAGAAAATACATGAATATAAAAAATGCACACAAGTGCATAAAAATGACTGAGTGCGGTGAGTTACATGAAACAGTTCGAAGCGAGCAGCCTATCTGGCTCCAACGTCACTGCAGCAAGCGACTTCTGTGCAGTCATTACGAAACGCCACCTTACCTTTAACCCGTTCACTCAGAAGGCTGAAATGAGTAACAATATTTCCAGCATTTCTAAAACTATAGGCAAGCATGATTTGCTGTGCTGTCACATCAAGCCCTGAAGTGCTTCTGCTCAGAAATAATCCTAAATTACTCCTAAATTACTCAATGAAAGGTGTGATGCTAAAGTTCCCCACAGTGCTAGTTAGAATAGCAAAAAGCAAAAATCTATTATGTTAACTCGCCTCTTTTTCTGCAATATTTGGGTCAATCCAGAGTGCAGTGCATGTAGAGCAGATAATTTTCCTTTTGTAATATTTCTTCACTAACAGCGCCTCTACTTCAGACATAAAACGAATTAGCCGGACAGGCATAATATTTCCAGGTGGAGTCAATGTAATACTGCCTGGCAAGACAACGCCCCATGACTGCGTATGCAGTTTAATGGGAGCATATTCGGGCAAAATTCTCTGCTCTTGAGGAGTTTGCGACGCGCCAAGTGCCGTGGCCTTCGAGGGATGACTGTCGTCGCTCTTTGGGAATTCCTGCCCTGCTGGCAATCGTCTGCGCTCTAAGAAATCCCTCTACTTGCAGTAACTGTCCGGGCCAGTGGGAAGGTGGGTGGCACACACGCACACGTTGAAAAGAGAGAGAGAGTGATAGAGAGAGCAAATGATATGCGGCACAACAAGGCCACACGGGGATTTCCTAGAGGGCAGATTGGAGCCAAAGATAGCTCACGTTTACTTCGGAGTAGAATATGTCGATGAAGCTGCCCAGCACAATGATGAAGTCGAACACGTTCCAAGCGTCGCCGAAGTAGTTCTGCAAAGCAAAAGAGCATTAAGAGCTCAATCAAGTTTGTTAGTTATGCATCATGAAGTTTGATATGCATCAGTACCGGACCCAAAGTGTTTAAAGGTAATGTTTTATGAACCACGGAATAAATGGTTATGTACCAACCAGATATTCGGTCATACTCACTTCAGTGAAGTACTGAGCTAGACTTTTTCCTGAATGGTATTCGAGTGCTATTGACCTATCAACACTTTCCACAACTTGCTTTATAAATCTCTGGCTCCGTAAAAGCCTCTATAAGCCATTCTTTCTTATACAAGGTTATGTAAATGTCAAATTATATCACGTGACTGCGATTTAGGGCGATAATTTTTCGTCAATGTTGCCCTCTGTATTTTTTTTCAGAGCGTTTCCCCACTTGTCAAAAGTATTCACAGGGCTAGAGTGAGGCTTTTGGTGTCGTGGACGGGTGATTTTCTTATTCAGCATCTATCATTTTTTCTAGCAGTGTGCCCAAGTGAATCTTCTTTTGGACATTATTACTGTATTGACCACTAGACCGTGGTTGTTTAAGCTCACTGTCAGGAGAAAGAGCCATTCAAAGAAAAATGTTCGAATCGGCGTGAGCGCGCGCACCGTAACATGGAAAAGCCCGAGGCGCGTAACCCGAAGTGTTATCGGAGGCGATCGGCCACGAGCTGGCCTTGTAGACGTGGGCTTGCAACAGGAAGGAAGCACATGCACTGGCGACAGCAATTCAATGTGGCCGCCTGTGAGGCTGTCATCCCGAAAGGTGGCCGTAAATATGGTCTGGTTTGAAAGAGGCCGCCCTGGATGCAGCAATGACAAGGTTCCTTTTGGCGTTGCATAAATGGTTGTCAGACTGCTGCTGAATTTGGCTTAATAATTTTCTTCTGTAGTTGTGGCTTCTCCGTAGGAGTTCGGTGCTATCCGCGGTGCCTTTCTTGGCTGAAATTTTTTTCTTCTGTAGTTGTGGCTTCTCCGTAAAAGTTTGGTGCTGTCCGCGGTACATTTCTTGGCTGAAAATTTTTCTCCTGTAGTTGTGGCTTTTTCGTAAGAGTATGGTGCTATCCATGGTGCATTTCTTGGCTGAAAATTTTTCTCTTGTAGTTGTGGCTTCTCCGTAAGAGTTTTGTGCTATGCGCGGTACACTTCGCGAGTTCATGAGCGACGCTGGCTGTTTTAATTAACGGAATGAACCGAGCCTAGCAGAAGTCGCGCGTGGTGCTGCCGTGCAATTAAGAGGTCGTTTTAATTCCGTTTTATATTAACGGAATGAACCGCGCATTACAGAATTCGTTTTATTTACGGAATGAACCGCGCCTAGCAGAAGTCGAGCGCGGCGCTGCTGCGCAATTAAGTGCCCGTTTTAATTAACAGAATGAACCACGCCTAGTAGAAGTCGAGCGCGGTGCTGCCGTGCAATAAAGAGGCCGCTTTAATTCCGTTTTATATTAACGGAATGAACCGCGCATTACAGAATTCGTTTTAATTAACTGAATGAACCGCGCCTAGCAGAAGTCGAGCGCGGCGCTGCTGCGCAATTAAAAGGCCGTTTTATTTAACTGTATGAATGGCGCCTAGCAGAAGTCGAGCGCGGCGCTGCTGCGCAATTAAGAGGCCGTTTTAATTAACGGAATGAACCGCGCCTAGCAGAAGTCAAGCGCGGCGCTGCTGCGCAATTAAGTGGCCGTTTTAAATAATGGAATAAACCGAGCCTAGCAGAAGTCGCGCGTGGTGCTGCCATGCAATTAAGAGGTCGTTTTAATTCCGTTTTATATTAACGGTATGAACCGCGCATTACTGAATTCGCTTTATTTACGGAATGAACCGCGCCTAGCAGAAGTCGAGCGTGGCGCTGCTGCACAATTAAGAAGCCGTTTTAAATAACTTAATGAACCGCGCCAGCAGAAGTCGAGCGCGGCGCTGCTGCGCAATTAGGTGGCAGTTTTAATTAACAGCATGAACCGCGCCTAGTAGAAGTCGAGCGTGGTGCTGCTGCGCAATTAAGAGGCCGTTTTAATTAATGGAATGAACCGCCCATTACAAAAGTCGAGGCGCGTTCTCTTGCTGTGTGCGCAGCTGTGCGATTAAGATATCGCGTCTCAGTATTAGGGATTATGGGGAAAACTGAATAGAGTCGCAGGAGGTGATGCGCTGCCCCCCTCCCCCCTTACTTTTCTTTTATTTTTCTTCTCACCGCTGATCGTGTCGCGTCGACCGCGCGCTACGACGGGGGACGCTACGCTTCCCCTAGCTGTGTCAGCACAAGACACATCGTTCGGACTCGTATATACATGAGATGAATAAGCGTTCCAAGGCTGGTTAATCAGGGTACGTCGGATATGCTACAGCTATGTACTCCTGGAAGGCTGCTTTATCGAAGCAGATGGAGCGAATTAAGCGCGACTTGCGCGTACCTGTAAATGGGACCCGGCCGACGAGCCGCCGTCGCTTACAGGGCCCCACCCACAATAAGCACAAATTGTCTCTCAGCCCAAGAGCGCATTATAAAACAATAGGGTGGGTACATAAGAATAAAATGGCATAATATGTCTCACTACACGCTCATCACTCACGATGTGGCAGGGATCCCTAAACGGGATATCGGCGAGCGATCACTTCTATTAATCGAAGGAAAGGGTCTTTCACGTTGAGACGTGCAACGACCAAGTACGTCTCGAGAGGCAAAAAAGGAGCCTTGCCCCTGTCTTCCCTGCATCGTGAGTGTCCCGCGGAGCTGGGACAGCTAGCTGTTTCCTGCAACCATTGTACCTGAAGTATGGGTCTGCTCGTTTTTTTGCCGGGGCGATTGTACGTGACGACTTACTGCATCCTGGGTCACCATAAATAAGCCGAGGTCCTTGCGATTTCCCCATCCCTCGGATGTCGGCGGCCGCTTCTGTGCTGTTCCCGACTGTCTGCAGGTCGAACTGCCGCTCGAAGCGATGGCGTCTTCGACAGTCCAATAACGCGACAGCTCCTGAAATGGTCACAATGTACTTTGCACAACTAACGTTACGGCATTTCTTCAGGATCACGATCCTAAAGCTTCGGAATTGCGACCGAGATAGGGAGCACCAAATAAGGAAATTTAAGAGGTTGACGTGAGCCAGTTTGGCCATGTCTCGACGCCCAGTGCACCGAGGTGGAGTACGTGTCCTGGGTGGTGTACTGTTTACGTGATACGTGGGTCACATCACGTAGCATCACGTAACGTCGTTCGCACTCCCGCTCAAGCCACCGTTGCTATTTAGAAGGAGGGGCATCGAAGTGGAGTACGTGAATAGGTGTTGTACGATTCGAGGCGTCTTCGCCCATCCCGTATTTTCACACATATGCTTGCGTCGCGTCGGCGGTGACCCACCCCCTTTTTCTCCGCAGACACTCGCGTCGCGTCGGGTCGGCGCCATGTCAACCAACGTTAGAGGTACAAAAAGGTTTTTTATGTTTCCTTTTATTCCAGGCGTCTTTGCCCACCCCCTCTTTCACCGCAGACACTCGCATCGCGTCGGGTCGGCGCCATGTCAACCAACCTTAGAGGTCCAAAAAGATTTTTTATGTTTTTTTTTATTCCAGGCGTCTTTGCCCATCCCATCTTTCTCCGCAGGTGCTCGCGTGGCGTTAGGGCCGTGGCCCATCCACTATTTCTCCGCAGATGCTCGCGCCACGTCGGCGCCGTGACCCACCCCCTCTTTCCCCGCTGATTCTGCATCACGTAGGCGCCCTGCCAACGTTAGAGCGCTCTATCCCCCTTTCACCCCATGACCCACATGAAATGCCATAACGTTAGCCATGCAAGCTACACTGTTACCAGTTCTGGAAGCGTCTCGTCATGGCCACGCCACGGATAGACCCCAGCATTGTCGAAATTGCTGACATCATAAGGTACCCTGCCGCGGAAGAGGCCTTCCTTCGTGAAATCGTACTGTCGCCTGCGCCATCGCTTCGACCGGCAGCACATTCTTCCCGGGACGACGATGTACAGCGACGAGTGGGCCACGTACCAGTGCATACCCAGACTTGTGGATGCCAACAGAACACCGCTAAACTTGGACTGGCACACCGTGAACCACAGTGTCATCCTATGACAGGCGCCAACACGCAAAGGATTGAAAGTGAATGATAAAAGGCCAAGCGCCCTCTAGTTCGCAACAGCAACGAGACGACTACTTCACTTATGCCGTCTCACCTGTAAATGGGACCCGGCCGACGAGCCGCCGTCGCTTACAGGGCCCCACCCACAATAAGCACAAATTGTCTCTCAGCCCAAGAGCGCATTATAAAACAATAGGGTGGGTACATAAGAATAAAATGGCATAATATGTCTCACTACACGCTCATCACTCACGATGTGGCAGGGATCCCTAAACGGGATATCGGCGAGCGATCACTTCTATTAATCGAAGGAAAGGGTCTTTCACGTTGAGACGTGCAACGACCAAGTACGTCTCGAGAGGCAAAAAAGGAGCCTTGCCCCTGTCTTCCCTGCATCGTGAGTGTCCCGCGGAGCTGGGACAGCTAGCTGTTTCCTGCAACCATTGTACCTGAAGTATGGGTCTGCTCGTTTTTTTGCCGGGGCGATTGTACGTGACGACTTACTGCATCCTGGGTCACCATAAATAAGCCGAGGTCCTTGCGATTTCCCCATCCCTCGGATGTCGGCGGCCGCTTCTGTGCTGTTCCCGACTGTCTGCAGGTCGAACTGCCGCTCGAAGCGATGGCGTCTTCGACAGTCCAATAACGCGACAGCTCCTGAAATGGTCACAATGTACTTTGCACAACTAACGTTACGGCATTTCTTAGGATCACGATCCTAAAGCTTCGGAATTGCGACCGAGATAGGGAGCACCAAATAAGGAAATTTAAGAGGTTGACGTGAGCCAGTTTGGCCATGTCTCGACGCCCAATGCACCGAGGTGGAGTACGTGTCCTGGGTGGTGTACTGTTTACGTGATACGTGGGTCACATCACGTAGCATCACGTAACGTCGTTCGCACTCCCGC